CCCCCCGCGACCCTAATGAGGATTAAGCAGTGTATACAAAATGGATGGATGGATGGATGACGAGAAGATACCGTGAGCCTGAAGTGACCAAGGATGGAAAACTCAGGTGCCGGGGAGTTCGACTCAAAATCCTCACATTTAGAATAAAAAAATGTTCCCCTCAAGCTGATGTTCTTGCGCAACCCAAGATCAGAGAATAGGAGCATCTTTTTATTCATTATCCTGTATGAACACACGACGCTGTATCCATAATCAGGTCTATTCTCCAGCTACATTATGTCTGTGGTTCCCCAGCCGTGCAGCCCCGAAGCTTTGTTTCATCAACAGCTGTAACTGTAGTTCCTACACACTCCTGCCTCATGAATAATTCACGCAGTCAAACCGAAAGAAGAGGAGAGCCCAAAATAAATACCAATGCTGACAGGGCAGCTTTTGGCCACAGGCCCTGCGTATTTGTCTTTTGCTTTCGCCTCTTCCTCGCTCACCCCGTCCGTCTCGTACGTCTCCGTGCCGCTTGTTTTAAGGTCAGTCTTCGCTGTACTCTCGTGTTGCATAAACCTGATGTTGTTTGCCATTATCTCCATCATGACCGCACTTCTCCAAACAAAAGTTTTTTCCGCCGCCGCCGCCGTTGTTTGACTGCAGATGAGCGCTGTCTTTCTCCCTCTTTTCGTCCCTGCTGTCTGGCTGCGAGATTACCATTTGTCTGATTGTGGGAGACGTGCACACTCCCCAGCAGTTAGGCTGTGCTCAGATCATCCGTTACACAAGTCTACCCTCTCTTTTTTTTTTTTTTTTTCCTCCTTCCTCCCCCACCACCACTACCTCTTCATTTCTCAGCCTTTCTCTCTCTCTCTCACCCCTTTTCCTCCTCCCCTCCTCCTCTCCATCTTCTCTTCTGGAGGAGATTGCCATTCATCAAACAGCCACATCTGTGAGATGTCAGCACCCTCTGATAAATGACTCTGATGAGAGAATGCTAAATGAACGAGGTAAATGAGAAATCTGGGTAATTATTAGAAAAGCCCCGTTTTCGGCACACCGCTGTTTATTATTTATTTTTGCGGCGCCGTTGAGGGCACGGCGCTCTAATTGGAAGCTGAACAAGTTGAGAAAGCGAGCCCATTCTTTAAGTCGTGCAGGATTAAGACTCGAAATGTGGTTTTTGTTTCTTCAGGCGAACCTTGTTAGTCGTTTAAAGTCTTTTTTTTTTTCTCTCTCTCTTTTTTTTGCCCTTGATCGGGTGAAGGCCTTTCTTCTGTTGCTATTGTACCAAGTGCAGACTGTTTCTTGTTTTTTTTTTTTTATTATTTTTGATCCTACGTCTGCCATCCACCAGTCCACACTCAGAAAAACCCTCCTCTGACTCTGTGCTTCTTGCGTTCCTCCAGGGCGCCCTGCCGTTTGATGACGACAACTTAAGGAATCTTCTGGAGAAAGTGAAGTTGGGAGTGTTTCACATGCCACACTTCATCCCTCCAGACTGTCAGAACCTCCTCCGCGGCATGATCGAAGTGGACGCCTCAAAAAGACTAACGGTCAGTTCGGTGAAGAGACTGGATGATAACACAGAATTGTGATCATGTTCATATACGTCTCTGTTTTGTTTTTTTTTCACGGCCTGTTTTTCATGGTTTGAGCTTGGCCCTTTTTAATTTCAACCCTCTTGCTACAACCAGAGGCACCAGTTTGGGGATGTCTTCCTCACTGTTTTGATGCTCCAAAGTCATGTGAAAAAACCTTCCTGAGCGAGTAGAGGCTGCTCCAGGAACTGTGCATGCTTGGTTTTAGCAGGAATGTCTGAGGAGGAATATATAGATACAGTCGTCCTCAGATGTATTCCTCTCCTTCCATTAGAGAAAAGGCAAAATTCACAATAGTCACTCAAATAATTAGAAACTGAAAAAAGTAATAATAGATAAAAATTTGCTAAATTCTAATTTAGTGAAATAGGACGTTGCTTTTGAATTGTGGGTGAAAAGAATAATTAAAAAAAATAAAAATGTCCTGGAGAAATTGGAGCACTTTGCCAATGAGCAGTGGGCCAAAATAGCTGTCAACAGGTGCAGAAAACACCTGATTGGCTCAAAGGGTTGTTCAGCTAAATATTAGTTTACGGGTCCCATCATGTTTGTTTTTTTGTTGTTTCTTTTATATTTCTGTTGAACCACAATTCAAAAGCAATGTCATGATGTTCATTCAATTTTTATTTATTATTACTTTTGTCAATTTCAACTTATTTCAGCTGTTTTTTTCCTTCTTTAACGGGAGGTTGTGAATAAATCTGAGGTCGACTGTATCTTCAGGTTTGGTAGCAGTATACATAGCGTGACAATATATAAAAATCTCAGTACCCTATTATAGAGCCGAGTGGTTCAAACAGACCTGAACTGTGCAGAAGTTGTAGGCAGTTTCAAAAACTACATTTTCAGACATCACACGGCACCAGCGGGGAGGCATCTGATCAGCCCCACATTCACTCTGAAGCGTGACAACGAGCTCAGACATGCGGCCGGAGTCATTTGAGAACTGTCTTTAATGAAGAGATGCCCCACAGAGCCCTGATCTCGGTGTCATCGACTCAGTGTAGGATTAGATGAAGAGACGAGAGCAAATGAGACGCCCTAAATCCACAGAGCTGTGGAAAAGTTGTCCGAGATGCACGGAGCAAACCAGCCTCCCAAGTACCAAGCGAAGACTGATGTAGCTGTTTGGTTTTTTTCTCGCTCGCCGACCCAAACCCACACATTACTCTCTACTGTTTCGGCATTTAATATCCCCTGTTCCTGCAGTGATTGGTAATTATGTTGTAGATGCAGCTAATCATATTTAAATGTAGTCTGGAAATAAACAGACACATCAGGTCTGCGTTCAGAGGCAGATGATTATTTTTCACAGCAAACTTGTATTCCAAGCGGAGAGCAAGAAGGCAGAGATACACACTAAAATGTCTAATATCAGTTTGCCACTGCCGGGCCAGCCTTTTGTCTGTCTGTTTGTTTTTGTGTGTTCCCCTCCATTGTGTCCCCGAATCCGTTTGAATTCTCCTTCAAGTACATCGTGTTAATTCAGGAGAGGGCCGCTGCCTCTGCGCCGCTCAGCAAACTCCTCACAATGCCAGTCACTTCTCCTACACAGCAGCTGATCACCTTGGCAAGGTGGCTGGACGAGAACAGAGAAGGGTAGAGAGCCAGCCGGGATAAGAAAGAAAGGGAAGCGTGGACAAAGGGAAATGTAAATGATAAAAGCGGCTAAGATATTTCAGAAAGTACATTCTTTACAGAGACATGCCCTTTGTTGTCGTCCTGCATTTCAGAAAACGCACACGGATGCAGACAACTTAAAAAATAAAAAGCTTCCTTCTTTTTATACACGTACTGCATGCACGCAGCCTCTCCAGGCACTACAGGTAGCTCTATTTTAAATGTGGTCTCTTGGTGCTGCTGAGTTTCCACATGTAGCTAAGGGTAAAAAAACAGACATGTGAAGGACACGAGTGGAAAAAAAAAAAACTTGAGAAAGATGCTCAGTTGCAGGTGAAGATGCTCAGATAAGCTGCAGCGTTGCAACATAAGCTAGAAATTATTATGCTGTATGCACACTATATGCTTTATTTTCCTGTTCCTCTCTGCGTGATGAGGACGGGTCACCCTGAGATCCCCTCGGTATGTCCACCGGCCTCCAGCGATGTCCTCGACAAAGGGTTACGCACAGACCAAGCTGCTGGGAGAGAATATGCTACCTGTCTGCTTCCCCCCCGCCTCCTCTTACACGAGGAGTCCAAACAGAGCTCTGGGGATGCGTTGTAACCTCGCAGAATGTCAAACAGCCTTGTTAGATTGAGCGTTTCCTGGAGTTTAGCGGTCAGAGACGAGACAGGTGCGCCCAAGGGTGGGAGTGACATCATAAGAGAACACGACACTCTTTTGCTCGGGATTATTTTTCATAATAATGTTGACAATGGCTTGTTGAATCAAATCGATTGGGTAATCAGACCATAACTACTGGCTCTGTCTGTTGCCGTCGTCTGTTAATTAGATTTCGAAAAGTACATGCACACAAGTAAACACACACAAAGCCGAGGCCCCCTCAGAGTCTGAGTGGGAGGGCACGTACCCGGGCTTAAGGGGCTTAGCCCAATAAAAGCTTTTCTCTTCATTTCCTGCCTGTGTAGTCGGGGGCCCCGGAGGCAACTGGGCCAGCCACCTCGACAAAATCATCTCATCTTCACCACTCAAAGGAACACAGACGCCCTGAAAAGATCTGTCTCCTCGTGATACCTGGCTAATGAAGAGGATTGGCAAGCTCATTATATTAAAGAGCAGTTCATCACAGATAGATAACACCCTCGTGGGGATGGAGTAGATGAAGCACCAAGGCTGCTGGATCGGAAATAAAGGAAGTCTGCGTATTTGTTCTGTAGCTCCCCAAGTGCCAAATAATATTTACCTCAATCAGAAATTAGACTCTTAAAAACTTTTAACAAACACTTTGTTTCGTTCCTTTGACACCCGTGTGACCTTTTAACCCGGCAGCAGCTTTGAACGGCTTGTTGACTTTAGAAAGTTGCCAAATTTACACCATTTATCAGAGACGGAAACCGTAAGAGTAGAAAGAATCTTTAGATTTTCAACTTTCACACAGTCCTTGAACTTCTGTCATCTGTGGCGTGCCGGGAAGCTAAAATCCGAGCTTAAATCGGGATATTATATCAAAATCACTTTATTCTACACGTCTCATTTAATCCTGTTCAGGACTTTCATTACGTAGAAGGTCTTTCGGGGTCCAAATATTTGTTGGTATTCATTATAGACTGTTATACTAGGCTAAATAAATGTTGTGATTTTCTGAAGTTGACGTATTTTGCTTCCAAATGCGTGACACATGTCCCTCTTTTTATATTTAAAAAAAAAAAAAATCTTCAAAAATAAAATAAAATTTTAAAAAAATGATACCTGCCCCCTACACTAAATGGCCTGGGGTCCAGCAGACCCCAAAAGTCCTGCTTAGGGTTAAATATTCACAAAAATAAATAGATTGATTCAATCAGATCCTGTAAAATAAAATAAAATAAAATAAAATAAAAAATCTGCTTTCCTCTGAATAACTGAGAAGTCATAACTGAGTCGGCCCAGAACAACAATCACATGATGAAAATTCAGCGACTATTGAGCTGAAAAGAGTTGAACTGCAGCTGTCTTTGCACAGAGCAGATAAGGACAGGTGTGGAAACAAGATCAAATCTACAAGTAGTAAAATATCTAGAGCACGTTGAGATACCAGTTGTTTTATTCCCAGTATTTAAGAAAATGTTGTTCATGTTGATTCCATTTTTTTTTTCATTTTTTGTAAAATAAACATCAATTTTTTTTCCTTTTTTTGTGATTAATGGCATCATAACCGTATCGTGCTGCACACGGGACATTTTTAAGTTCTCGCTGCTCTTTGTCACGGTTGTGTCGTTTCCATAGAGGCTGCAAGACTTTATGCTGCAGTGAAAAATCAGCCCACAGTGAGGCAAAATGTGACAGGAGCCAAACACATCAGAAGCTGTTTGGGAATCAAAGGTTTAAAGGCCTCCATTAAAGAATCTTGGCGTGCGCTGTCTCTCCATCTCTCTGCTTCTGTTCTTGAAAAAGGCCACTTGTGTTGCTGCTCACTTAGCAAACCTGCCTCACAAAGAGAGCAGTAATTACAGAAACTGTGACGGGTTTAAAGGTTAAAGGCTCCAACCAAACTGTGCAACAGTTGTACGTGTGGTGTTGGGTTTGAAGTTGGGTTTTTTTGATTTTCATAAAACCAGACGGCACTTTGCAGGAATAGAGCTCACAAAAACAGCGCAGTGTTGTTTCTTTTCTTTTTTTTTGTCCTTTCTTGAGATTTTAGCTGTTTGTTTTTCCCCATATTATAAATTTCTTTGGTATAATTTGTTTCTATGTGGTTAAACTAAAGTCATATTCTTTTTTTAAAGTGAATTTTTGACTTAACCCTTGTAGACGTCAATAACGTAACAACGGCCAATAACGTAATGAAAGTCCTGAACCGATAACGTAATAAGTTAGTACGTTATTGGCCAAGAGTTATTACGTTACTTTTTTTTTTTTAAGTCACAAAAATACAAATATCTTGAAATATCCTTCAGTAACACCCTAGGGTTGAAATTTTCATTTTCCAAATACAGTCGTGACTCCATAATCCGACCCTTAACAATCCTAAACTTTGCTATCCGACAGGTTTTTCGGAAAAACGAACAGAACCCATGAAAAACAGCCTTAACATACCGACAGCCTTGGATTCCGACTCCGACGTGACGTCTTATGTCACCAATCAGGATGACGGCGTATTATCTGACTGAACAATCCCACAGATTGGCTACGTTCACACTGCAGGACTTAATGCTCAACTCAGATTTTTTTGTGAAATCCGATTTCTTTGCGAGTTCGTTCACGTTTCCAGTTCAATGCGACTTGTATGTGATCTGCTGTGTGAACTTCATACAACCCAAAAGTGTCCCGCATGCGCAGAAGAGGACACGATGATGTCACACGCAGTGAGCGTGCTCAGTGTTTACGGAAGTAGACATGGATGGTAGAAACAGAAGTGTGAGCACTAACTAAACTAGCATCAGCAGCCAAGTACTGCCTGTGCGTTCTGGCCACTTCCACCCCGACGGAGCGCTGTCCCGGGGTGGAAGTGTCCCCCGACCACACCGAATGCTCTGATATTCATCATTAATTGGGCCTGAATATCCAGAGACCAGAAAGTGCTATTGGGACCAGCCCTACTAGTTATTATAACAACTATAAACAATAAATATTAACAACAAATGAGCCTTCAAGCTACAAGCCCTCCTTGTATCTCGACCTCCGTCTTGACAATCCGACATAAGAGAAGGTTTTACATTTAGTGTTAGATTAATGAGTCACGACTGTATTTCAAGCAGTGCCCTATAAAGGGTTAATGTGTGATTAGGCTTTAGGTAGGACAGAACAGGTCCTCACTTCTCCCTGCTCAGAACTATACGACTGAGACGCATGCAGACCAGCACCCGTATAAATGCAAATGTACGAGAATTAATTTATGCAGCGCCCAAATAAAAGCACGCCGGGATGAGCTCTCACACAGACCCAGCCGGCGTAGTTTTATAGCGGCGGTCCCTCTGCCTGAAAGCCGCTGGAATTGGTTGTGACACCTTTAGAGACTGATTGATGTGATTCTGCATTTCAAACCACATCACTTTCAAGCATGTGTGTGATACCGGTCTCTTGCCTCCAGGCCTTCAATAAAAGTCAGAGAGACTAGGTCACCCACTGGCCTGTATCTGACAGCCAGGGTGTCTCTGTCAATACCGTGACCTCTGCAGAAACAGACAGGAGTCACCTATAGTCAGTAATCACAGTCCGGCGCCGGCTCTGTGATTGCACTAATATCACATGAAGGCATTCATTAGTGCAGAAGCGCAGAGGTGGATCCTGTGGGATGCGTGGAAACGTCAAGACATTGATGGAGACACATACACAAGAACTATGCCTCTGAATAAGTGACAATAATTAGAGCTGCTATGTGTATCTCCTGTGGTTCCACAACAACAGCACGAGCAAATTAAAAAGTCCCTACAGTGACATTGATCCTGTTTTTCTTCTTTCCTTCTGTGGGCATTTGAAACCCGGTCGAGTCATTCTCACAGACATCTTCCTTTGTCGCCCTTTTGCTCACACTTTCTTTCCTTTTTGGGCAAAAAAAACAACACAAACCCCGTGTTGACAGTGTCGGTGACAAAGTGGTCGCATTAAAAGTGTGACGACAAGAGCAGTGTTAAGGAAGCCGGTGTGTGTGTGAGTAAGAGAGATGGGAAGAGAATGAGAATGGGAGATTCCCTTTGGACCAGAGGGCTTGGCAGGGTCAGCGGCGTGTGAGAGGGAGATAATATTCTCTGTTTATAGTCGTATCACCTCTCTCTCCTCCGCTCTGGCTGCACCGTCTCTCGTTCCCGTTTTTTTTTTTTCCCGCCCCATTGGCAGTATTAATATTTGAAGGCCTCATTATTTACTTCCACTATTGAACCTGGCCATATTGCCCTGTTGTATTTCCTTTAAGCTAGTAAGCTTACTGAAAGATTTACTGCAGCCACACGATAGCAAACAGGTGATTCTTTCTGCTTCATTCTGCCGCCTTTGATTAATTTCTTATTCAAATCAATTTATTGTTTGTGTACTGACCTGCATTTTTCTCCCTCGTTTCTTTTACAGTTAGAACAGATCCAGAAGCACACGTGGTACATGTGAGTACTCTGTTTTTTCTTCTTCTTCCTTTTTCCACACACACCCCCGCTTCCTCTCTTCGACTATTCTGCAGGGGTTGGAGACCTGAGGGGTGCTACCACATGAAAAATGACTTTGAGTTTCAGCTCTGTACATGGCAGTACATTTAAACAGGGCATGACTCCACTCTCGGGGATGTGGGGGTAAATTGGTAGTGCATGAAAGAGGATGTGCAGCATATGGTCAGCCGAACAGGGGGCAGGGTGGAGGGAGCGGAGACTCAACCCACGTAACCTCAGTGTACCCGTCGTTTAGCATTAATAACAGAGCGTGCCCGCCTTTTTAAGCTAACATAAATCTTTTTGAGAATGTTTGTAGTGCAGTTCTGAACAGATGAAGGTTAGAAGATGCGGTTTTAAATGACGTAAAACATGCTGTAGATACAGTAGATAAAGGGGGTCCACTTGAGCAGCATCACGAGGAAAATTAGCTTTTTTTAATCTTTTATTGAACAGAAATATCAATCGATGTGATATTCTTCTGTATCTCTAAGCTGGTTTTGTCCTTTGTGTGATTGTCCACCAGACTCTGGCATCACCTTGCAGAATTTATTGACCAATTTTCCCTGCAAAATTCCTCTAAAGCCCCGATTTCAAATCTCCTTCAAATCTTTGCTGTTTTTTTTTCTTCTTTTCTTGACACTCAGACAGAATTCATATTTAAATCAATGACTGCAAGCTGCCTCGTTGTCAGCAACCCCCCCGAAACAAAACATTTCAACTGCCATGTTTCACAGTTGGTCCGAGGTTCCCTTCATGAAAAGCTGCTTTTGGTCGGAGCCAGACGTGTCCACTGTTACTGCGGCCAAACATCTCTGTCTTTGATTCGTCTGTTCAGAGCGTATTATTCCAAAATGCCTGGACTCCTGCTTCACTGGCAAACTGTGGTCGTGGTCTGATATTCGGTTACCTGCAGATCCTGTGATGAAAGTTGAGGGTTTGTAGAGATTTTTAGATCTGCTCTTTGGCTGAATTTAATGGGGCGGCATGTTCTGGACAAATCGCGAGCCTCTCGGTGGAATGATTTATCTTTAATCTTGTGAATCAGACTCGTAGTCATCCACAAAGCTTTCTGTGAAGGCCTTAGAGAGCTGTTTGGATCTTGGCATCATGAGACCACCACATAGCAAAAACAACCTGATGTTAGAGGTTAATCATCTGGAACCCTAATTATGAAAATGACCCCCAAAAAAAGACTCTTTTGTTTAAGTATTCCACTTTTATCTATAGAGGATCAAGTTTTTTTCAAATCTAAAAAAAAATAAAAAATCATCGATTCACTCTGGATGCATTTTTTTTTTTTTTTTTTTGACCTGATAATCAGATTAGAATCAAAAACTTTAATGTTTAATTCAAGATTTTTTTTTGTTTTTTTGTGGTAAAATACTAAAGATGAGTCATGGGAGGTGAGTGTGAGTCTAGGAAGGGACTGAGTTATGGTTTCTGTCCTGCACTGAAGGATCATGCAAACAGACAGCGAGACTGATAAAAGAAACACGAGGAGACAAGAGCTGGAGCCGAAGACTAATGTGGTTTGAGTTTGGCCAGTGAGGAAGTTGCCTGGCTGTCTGTCTATTTGCATGGCATGGCTGGCTTGTCAAGTGAATGAATGAATGAATGAATGAATGAGTGAATGAATGAATGAACGAATGAATGAATGAATGAATGAATGAATGAATGAATGAATGAATGAATGAATGAATGAATGAATGAGAGGCATGTTCGTCTGATGAAGGCGGCTGTTTCCTGGAGCGAACTCACAAACACAGGCAGTGATGTGTACAAACCACCAAACTAAAAATGTTCAAACGAGTCCAGAAACTCCAAATTCTTCAGAATCAGAATCAGAAACAGATTTACTGCCAGGTATCGTTTACACAATAATTTGTTCTGGTGAGTTTGTGCAACAATAAATACACAGTAAGGTACAATGCACAAGATAAAAATGCAAAAATAGCTAAAAAAATAAAAATAAAAATAATAATAATAATAATAATAATAAGAAGAAGAAGAAGAAGAAGAAGAAGAATAAAGAAAAGTAATTAAAAATAAAAATATGTGTATTTGTGCAAAGCAGAAGCAAAAAAATGTGAAGTGAAGAATTAAGTTAAATTTGAATAATTTAAAGTTTTTATTAGTTTTTGAGCAGCACCTGCTGAATAAACAGAACCGGGCCAAAGTGTCGTTACTTGACTCATGGTTACCTGAACAGGAACCCCGATGTAGAACTATTGCAGTCCTCCATAACAGCCCTACTACCTTAATAAAGGTTATAAGGTTACATTTTTTTCTTGAATAGTTTAGAAAGATTAGTGTAATGTATTATAATTCAATATCGCAGCGAACTAAAGCAATTAAAATAAACTTAAATCAGGCCTGATTTATTGATGATTGACTGTGATATATGCACATTAATGAAGCCGGGGGGTTGGGGGTTATGTGAGGTGAACAGTCTCTGCAGATCTCAGCTTATAGAAAAGTGGAGGTTCGTGTCATTGTAATAGCTGCCTATGGGGTTTATGCTTCACTGGGTTCACCAGAAGGAAGAATAATAGAAAGGAAAAAAAAAAGAAACCCGGCGTATTGACTCAGATCTGTCCGTATATCAGAGTCTGTGTGCATTGGCACAAGAACGTTACAGAAGTCCTCTAAAGAAAAATGGTGTCAGTGCAGCTTAGCCTTTTATTTTAAATCCTAAAGAATAAACGCCGGCTTGTGCAGGCGAAGGAGAGACAGAGCGAAGTGACATAACTAGGAGAGTGTCTGGGCAAAAAATAAAAAATAAAAGGAGGGAATAATGCAGAAAGTAAGTTTGGAAAACAAGCCAGGAGGGCAGATCGCAAAAACTTACCAACGTGACTAAGTTGTCTTCCTGCATCTTGGTGAGCACCACGACCCCTGTTCACCCTCTGAAACAAAAAAAAACTGACTAACCCCGGGGAACGTATGTGACTATGAAAGTTTCATAATGTAAACTGAGGTCATGAGGCAAATCACTGGAGGTAAACAAACAGCTTTGCATACTGCATATCGTGTTTGTAGCGGATAAACTTCCACAATGTGGGATGCTGTCGTGAGCGAGGGGAAGTGCTTGTAATGTGTTTTTAAACTCACTGAATATTGCAGCAGTGGGGACCAAGATGGCCGACCGTGTCCTTATTTGTGTTGTAATTTCTGTGCGTTCCCAGAGGGGGCAAAAACGAACCAGAGCCAGAGCAGCCTGTGCCCAGGAAGGTGACCATCCGCAGCCTGCCCTCCGCGGACGACATCGACCCAGACGTACTGGACAGCATGCACTCTCTGGGCTGCTTCAGGGACAAAAACAAACTACTGAAAGACCTGCTCTCAGACGAGTGAGTGAATAAATGTGCTGCATGGAGGGGGGGGACGGGAGAGAGAGAGAGGATCGAAGTATGGTTTAGTAGATGAACGAGAGGGGAAAAAGAAGGAGAGGATGGAACTGTGAGAATAGAAGCAGAGGAGGGACTGCAGTGTTGTGTCAGTGTGCACACTCAGCCTTGGTTTTCCCCGGCTCTTATGAAATCCTGCGAGGCTGTCACTTTAGATGTTGGGAGCCATAGATCACTTAACTGTTATCACACAGCGCTTACATCGCCTGCCACTGGGTACATTCCCCCCAAACCGGTCCTGGTTTGCTCTGTGAACATGCTCCCGGGTCACACTGTTGATGCTCCCGCCGATAATATTTGTGTCTCGGTTACACGTTTCCACGAGTAAATATGCATTAATGCCGGTGATGCTTCACCCCAGCAGTCCTCTGTGTCTGTTACTAATATGGGAATACTAGCTTTTTTTTTTCTTTAAAGTTTTCGTTCTCTTTTAATCTACTTTACATTTACCCTGCTTCTCCCGTTTAATGCTAAAACACTCTATCTCCATGGCCTCTCCCCATCCCTTCCGTTTGCTTCCTTCCCCCCCTCCTGGGAAAATCTCGTAATAGTGCTGGACTGGAGGAAAATCTGTGTTCTCCATCTCCCTTCCCCTGCTTCATTTTAGCTGAAGTTGCAGGTCCTTGTCTCTTTGCCTCCTACCGCTTTCCAATCTGTCTTTATTATGGAGGGCCAATCCCTGGGCGTTTTGCATACAGAGCGTTGGCCTCCGGGCTAAAGATATTAGGTTTCCTGATTTACTGAGAGAGAGAGAGAGAGAAAAGGTCAAACTCATAATGTTTTGATACTTTCATAAACTTACTCTACGTAAAAACGGGCCGTATCCTAAAAAATATACGCATAAGATTATACGACGGCTTAATGGTCTGTAAAAGTTTGTTTTAATGATGAGAGCTATTTATCAGCTGTTTCACGGGAAAAAAAAAGATTAAATGACATCGATCATAATGAGGGAGTTTTTGCAATTTAATGTATTTTTTCGTACTTATTTTAGTGATCTGATCACACACACGGTTCTCCAAATGTCTCACTAGTGTTTTTTTTTATTCCACCATGTTTGCAGCGACAACCAGGAGAAGATGATCTACTTTCTCTTATTGGACCGTAAAGAGAGGTACCCCAGTCAGGAGGACCAGAACCTTCCCCCTCGCAATGAGATTGGTGAGACCTGGAACGAGACACGTGCAGATCCATCCATCCATCCATTACACTGGGTTACAAAAACATATTTTTTAACTGATTTAGGACATTTTTGCAACGCTGAATCCAAAAATGACATTTGGTTTTCTGTATCAGGTCAGGTTTTTATGCCAACTCAATTTTTAAAAGTCGAATTCGATTACGTTTTTTGACATTAGCAATCGACTTATTTTAGTATTTCTCATATGAAATCGGATTTTAGTGGAAAGATTTCATTTTCTAATCCTTTCCATAAGCTAAATGATCCAAAAGTTGATGAGCGGAAACATTTGTAAAGGTAAATTGCATGTTTCAAGCAAAACCGATGTGATATTTGGATTCAGCACGTTGCAATTGTCCAAAATCAGCTCAAAAAACGTTGACACCAAAATGGGTGTAGACCAGTGTTGTCTATACACCGCTTAATCCTCACCAGGGTCATGGGGGGCTGGAGTCTATCCCAGCTGACTCAGGGTGAAGGCAGGTTCACCTGGACAGGTCACCAGTCTATCACAAGGCTACACTTAGAGACAGACAACCAAGAACACTCACATTCACACCTACAGACAATTTAGAATCACCAATTAACCTCAACATGTTTCTGGACCAAGCCGGAGAACGCAGAGAGAACCCACGAACATGGAGACTCCATGCAGAAAGATCCTGGGTGTCCTCACCGGGATGCGAACCGGCGACCTTCTAGCTGCAAGGAAACGATGCTAACCACTGCTCCACCTTGCAAGTGCAGATAAAGAATGTCATATAATGAGGGGAAAAAGTCGTGAAATCAGTTTACAGTGTATGGCACACAGAAGTAAAACCGCCGTCTAACCGGTGTGTTTAAGTGTTAATGACACTCTATCCAGTCACGGGCAGCTGTTTATACCAGCAAAACAAACCATTCTAAGTAATAAGTGCTTGACGAAGTTAACTCACGAAAGCTCCTCGCGTCTGAACCATTCAGCAGTGTTTTCCTCCTTCAGAAGAAATTGGATCAGCTCCAGAAGCGGTGGATGGGCTCTCAAGTAGATAAAGAAAAAAAAAGCTTTCTGTTTATTGAAAATAAATAAGCTTCTCAATGAAATATAGTAGCAGAAATAGAAGGCATCAATAGGCCAGAGATTTTTCTTTTTTTTTGAAAAACTGTCACCTCCAACTGCTTCAGTTCAGATATTAACTCATCAAAAAAAAAAAAAAGAAAAGATACCATTTGCACAACCACGGCGCAGATTTTCCACCCACAGAAAAATGTGAGCAGAGACGAAGACGCTGCGCTCAGACTTGTGCCAGGGTTATTTTCTGACAAGAGTGCTGCAACAAGAAGAGGAGCATTATGTGCAAATGTGTGTGTGTGTGTGTGTGTGTGTGTGTGTGCTGTAAGATACCGACATTTTGATGAATAGACTCCCCCTTCAGTGAATGTGATACAGTCAATACAGTGGCCATTAGTTCAAGGTCTGGGAGGAAACCATTACTTATTCACTATTAGTTAAAATGTCAATGTGATCGGCGCTAAGCATCGCTCAGACACTCGCGCATATGCACAGCGATGACAGAACAGCGGTAACGCATGCAGCAATATGCAGATATGTCAGGTGCTTTTGTGTCTCTGCTCCGAATCGATCGCAGATCCGCCGAGGAAGCGGGTGGATTCCCCCATGTTGAACCGTCACGGCAAGAGGAGACCGGAGAGGAAGTCCATGGAGGTCCTCAGTGTCACGGACGGAGGCTCGCCGGTGCCGGCCAGGAGGGCCATCGACATGACGCAGCACGGACAAAGGTACGCATGGAGGTGAAAAGAAGAAAGCTTTAGAAATCAATAGTTTTTTTGGAGACAGACTTGTGTGTGTGTGGAGGATCTCGCAGCCCGCCGGCGCCTCAGCAGGTCTGACAATGAGTCTGGATTCTCTGACAGCAGGCTGCATCATGGTGGACAAACACAAACAGAGACTGACTCTCTGCTCGCTTTGTCTCCTGTCTCACTGTAGTAAATCAGTATACAGTAAAAGCTTGGATATTCCTGACGCCAGTACAAAATGCAGCAAAGAAGAAAGGTATTCATCTGCCAATCACGCTTTCCTCCTCCCCTCTCGCTCTCTCTCTCTCCATGTCTCGAAAAAAGATGCAGCGGCGCTTTCTAAATGAAGAACACACGGGGAGCTTGCCGTTACTTCACAGGTCTGTTTTAATTAGCCGCATACCTTATCTGTGAGAATAAAAAAAAATATGAAAGTAGCTCGGCCAATAGAGTCAACAGCTCCTAAAGTTTCTCTTCGCTCTTTTAATTAACTTCATTCTGAAACTGAGGAGGACTGCGCATTTGCAATTCAGAGCCTTAATATCTACACCCCCACCCGTTTCCGGCGTTCGCTCAATTATCTTTTTTTTTTTTTATAATGTGAATGCATTGATAATCAGTTCTCCCATACTGTGTCCCACTTCCTCCCAGATGCAGAACATTTCCCCCCCTCCTCCCCAATTTCTCTATTTTAGAAGTCAAGCCAGAACCACACCCCCACAAGGCACAGCGGACTGATTTAAAATCTTTTTCCTCATCTTATTTCAACAACCGATATATCATCGCGCCACACATTTCTGCTCAGAGGCAGTGACATTTGTGACAGCGGGGAAGATTGAATCTGAGGGGGGGGTGATAACCTGATCTGCCTAATGATAGTCAGATTGGCAGAGTGCCGGAAAAAGCTTTCAGAGGTATGGGACATAAACGCAGAGAGGCAGAGGGTGCATATATTATATAGATAAAAATATATAGTCGTAAACTTGAATATTCATCCAACGCGTTAATAACTTCTCCCCGTAGTGCTTTTGCCAACAACAAAATATCAAGAATTTATTTCTCACTTCATTTCACCGAGGGAAGAAGTTTTAAATCCGTTTCAAGAGCTCCCACCTCTAAACACTTCTCCTTAATTCCGTCTGTCCTCTGGTGCGTCTGAATTCCAGTTTAAGATTCATCTTCTGGTGTTTCATCGCCTCCACTCCGCTCCTTCATCCCTTCAGGCGATCGAAGTCTTATCTCTTCTTTATTTAAAGGTTTGCGTTAGTTTATAAGCTGCCTTCTTCTGCCCTTCACTCCGACTCAACTGATTCTTTCGTGCCCGGAATCCCAAAACAGGTCAGTTTGCAACGACTTTATTAAACATTGAAAAAAAAAGCTCCTAATGATGCATGGACAGAAAACAGGAGCGGACCAGATGAAATAAGACCTGAATCCTACATTTCTAAAAAGAAGCTCCCCTGCATCTTTCTTCTACTTTCGATCAGTGTGTTTACTCTCACCCCTCCATCCTAAATTTCTCCTCTCTATGCTTCTAAACCACCTCTCTCTCTCTCTTTCCCTTGTGTGCTGCTGACCTTCAATCCCCAACACCCCCCTCTGTTAGTATGGAATTGCTATGCTAATGTGGGAAATGCTGCTAGTTTTTTTTTTTTTCCTCTCTCTCTCTCTGTCTGGCTTCCTATCAGCAGCTGTGGTGGATTGGAGGTGGGGAGGCCTACTACACCGCAGCCCCTCTACCTCCAAATCAAATCAAATCTCTCACTCCCGCTATATATACGTCTCTTTCTCCTCCCCTACCGCCATTCACGAGCCTCCATCAGATCAGTCGGAGGGCGGGAGGAGGAAAAAGATGTGTCGTAACAAAGTCTGGGTTTTGGTGTGTTTTTGTAACTTTTCTATCGCATCTCCGCTTTGTTTGATCTCTCTTTGTGCGTGCCGATGTGTGTGTGTGTGTGTGTGTGTGTGTGTGGATGACGGCGTCGGGGAAGCAAATCGGTTGCGGAATAACGTCCAAAAATTTTTGACTGACTCCCTCTGAACCTAACCTTATCTTTCCCCAACAGCTAAACTTTTGTCGACAGCACAGAAGATTCATAGAACTTGAGATCAGAGGGTGTCAGGGAGAGGACTGACTTTGAAACATGTGTTTTGACAGGATACATTTCCAAAGAGAGAGAGAGGACGGGACGGTTTTTATCTAAAATTACATAACCAAAAATGTCTGAATGTCAATCCTTAGCCAGCGTTTCCCGCCTCACATATCTCACGTAAGCAGTTACGTCCCGAGCAGCTTCATTTTCATACACATGATTGGTGATTTGACTGCTCCTGTGAAGTATAATTGAATAGATTTGGGATAAACGCCGGCTGCGCTGGCCGCGTTGCACGGTAACGCTCGTAGGAGAAATTCTCGTGCGGATTCCCGTTTCAATCTTTATACACCCAAACGTATCTTAGAAAGACATTTAAAGTTAAACTGAAAGCACGAGAAATCCCACTGATTTAATTTTAAATCTTAACAACATGCCAGGAGAAATGAAGGGAGGTTAATGATATGTAAATGAAATATGGAAAAGTGCTGCAGTGTGGAGAAGAGAATATCAATTGATTTTTTTTTTTCCTTTTCTTTTTCCTTTTTGCAGATCTGCTCTAGTTGCTTCGTGCAGTTTGAATGTGGAGTAGTCGCAGCAGTCTTAATAAGTCGGGGTCTCCTGCTAATTATTGACACTAATTTATTTAAGAGGCTGAAATAAGCACAAATAAAACACCTTTAACACCGATCTCTACAGCAGAAACTGCGGGGGTCTTCCCGCATTTAGATATTTGAGGCGCTGAGCTGTGAATAGTAATGCATGGAGTCCTTGGGGAGCTGTCAGGGCTTAAAGTAGGAAATGAATTTTAACAGTATGTTGATTTATATGAATATCCACTCTATGCAGTGGAGGAACTGTATCTGTAGGACAAAGTCAATATAGAGGAGGGAGAAAAAGGAGAACTCTACATTAAATCATACGAGCTGAACAGTAGCATTGTGTTTTTTTTTGCATTTGGCAGCGTGGTTCGTTTGCTGTTTGACTCCTGGCATCATCCGTTTGGTTTTGCTTGGGTTTTGTTTCATTTCGGTCCATGCCCTCACCCCCAGAATCTGTTGTACTTGTTCCATCCTCCACAGCCCAACATTAGTTCCCCACAGGTGCTTTGGATGGGTCTCTGACACAGCCGGTGGTCACACACTGAGGACACGAGGCCCGTTCCAAAACAGGCTTATGGGAATTGAGAAATAGCGGATAATAGAAAGACTGTAATAGGTACCCAGTAAGAAAAAAACAACTAATATTTTGCCCGTTTTCTTGTGACGGGAAGTAATTACTTTGACTTAGGTTTTGATGTTCATTTATGATGAATGGAATTTAGTTTGTGGCACTAACCAGTGGTGCTCCAGATAAGTGGTTCTCAAACTTTTTGAGCCACGACCCCCAAGATAACATAAGTTTGTGTTCGTGACCCTGCAAATGAAATTTTTGATATATCACGAGTAATAACTTTGTTGTTCATGCATTAATGCATTAAAAATTATTGTGCTAGTTCCACAGATTAATCTCTTTACATTAACACGTTAATTTTCTTTTGAATGAATGAATGAATTGAATTTATTTTGAACAAATAAAAGGGAAAAAAAGATATAAAAAAAACAGAAACTAATTTTAAAAAAGAAAAATAATGTTGCATAATCAAATTATAAGAAACTTTAAAAAAAGGAGTGGGAAGAAGTATATACTTTTAATTTTGGCATTTATTTTAAGGCTTTATTTTTATTTTATTTGTTTTTTTTTTTTAAATGATCTGGCGACCCTCTGAAATTATCTTGGGACCCCCATGGGTGTCCCGACCCCCAGTTTGAGAACCACTGATCTAGATCATAGTAAAGGTTGCAGTAATAGAAAAAAGCAAAACAGTTTCAAGTATAAATCCTGCATTTAGCAACAAGTTGTGTATTTGTAGTAACAGTGCTAATTTTGCAGCCAGTAGAGGTGGAGCTGGTTTATTTTATTAATACTTCTGTATGTTGCATATGCTCTATAATATATGTACATAAGTGAAAAGTACAGCAATTTCTTCTAGAATGTAGTGGGGGAAAAGTAGAATAAAAATGAAATATTTAAGTGTATTTGACTTTAATTAACCTAAAATTGTACTTAAAGAAGTTTCATTCCACTACCAGTATTCATAAAACAAAGAGTTTTTCCAGGAACAGTGTCCTTTTTATGTCCCTGTTGTTCTGGATAATCCACAAACTCTTGACAGTGAGTGAGTTTTAAGTGTTTAGATGTCACAGTATCTGAGTTTCTGAGTACTGCAGGTAAACCAGATCCAGTCTGTTCACACCAGGATGTGCAGCATCATAACCAGAATGCTCCAAACCTCCCGTTATTACCAGGATGTTTGTGTTCACCTGAACGTCGCTTTAAAGCCGAGCACATAACCGCAGCATGGCTCGGTGGGTCCAGCATCTCCTCTGGTGCTGATTTAATAATGTGGCTTCTTGGTTTCCACGCTAGATGATAAACGATTCCCCAGTCGTGCGCCGTTCACTATAAATTAAGCACACAACAATAATTCATCGTCTCTCTGAAGCAAGGGGTGAGCCTCTGACAGCCCATTACTGTACAGCACAACCATCTGTAACATTAGCTTTATAGACCTGCTGGTCCAACACTAACAGATGCAGCGCGCCTCCAACAATATGCTCCCAGTGGCCGGAGAACGTCGCGTTTTGGCCGTGTTTAGATAAAGTTCAATTGGCCGCGGGTGCACAAGTGCTGTAGTGAGCAGCCGTGGGCACGTCTCGGCGGACTGCAGGACTTAAATGTAAATGATGGCAACTGTCTGGTCAGCTGCTGCCTGAAACAAGAAATCACAGCCAACGCGGTCTCAGCATCGCCTACTCATGTGTGTATGACTGTGTGCAATAAATACACTCATGCAAGGGGCAGTGGGAGACTTCCAAAAATATATTGGCAGTGGGAGTTTCTAAATTTCTCTCTCTGTGTGTCTCATGGTAGCTGTTTGTGTTGCTTCTTCTGCTCTGTTTGTGACTCTCAGGATTGAGATTTTGAGTGTCAGGCTTTCTTTTTTTTTGTAAATTAAAGTGACTCAACCAGAATAAGAAATCTAATCATGTTTAGTTTGGATGCTGGTTGTGATTGCTTCAAGGAACGACCATAAGTCTCCATTATTCCAGCCTCGTTCTTCCATCCATCCCTCCCACATTCCTCTGTCTTCTCCCTCATTCTCCCCTCACATCAGTCCTCAAGGTCTTTCTCTTCAACCGGGCAAGTTGAAAAAGACAGTCATAGGTTTTATGTCTTCATCTTTTCGAGTAGAGACAAAGGATCTGTAGTCGACGCCACATGTTCACATCAGAGCTGACGTGGAGAGAGGAAGAGAGGCAGAGTGAAGGAGGAGGGGTATTATTAGATTGAATGACAAAAAGGAACAGTGTTGTGACAGTGAGCAGCTGGTGTTTCCAAGTGTTGACAGGCGTTGCTTTTGTGTGTTTGCGTGTGTGCTGGCGTGCGCGTGTGCTTGATGGAGACAGATTGCGCTGTGATTGTTCATTTCTGAGCAGGACTCCGCTCATAGGGGTTATTGACGGCATCTGCGAGGGAAAAGACAAACATGACAAATGGCGCTCAACCAAATGTCCCCCCCTTCGTCGTGCCTCTCGAGGCATTTCCGAGGGCCTAAAGGCTTAAAAAAGTCAACACGTCTGGTTTATTAGCAAACTATATCTCTCAAACGGAAGTTTGAGCCTAAATGGAGCGAGACTAATTGCCGGGAGTCAATGTGTGCTGTCGAGTCGTAGCGCATTTACTCTGGCGTGCGAGTGGCTGTTGTGTTGTTGTCGTTGCTGCTTGATAGCGACCTATGTGTGATAGCACCGTGTGCTTGAGTGCTTTCCGAGCGATGTGCAACACGTAGCCGAGCTCTCACCTCTACCGAAACATGTGAAAGTCTCATATTAATCCCACAAACCCCTTTTGTGTTGGTGCCACAGGTCGCGGTCTATCAGTGGAGCCTCCTCTGGCCTCTCCACCAGCCCCCTCAGCAGCCCACGGGTAAGTCACAAGCCTCCTGGTAAAACAATGCATGCAGCACACCTCTTTAACCAAGTTTCCTCCAGGAAAAAAGTCCATCTAACTGCTGCTGATCCCATCTTATTGCTGTTTATGTGGAAAAAAAGCTGCATGACATGGACGTATAGCATCGCTGCATCTCTCTGCAATAATGTTCTGCCCTTCCATTTTATTGTCATACAAGCAAACAGTATATTTATCAGCTCCCTAAGTTCTTATCTACCTTTCGAGGAAGCAGGGATCCGCTATGATGAGCTCCTCATATCCTGTGTTGCATCAGGCTCTGCAGGAGTCTTCTGTGTGTCCATATAGTTCAGATGTTTCCTCTAACTCCAAGTAAAACGCTCACGGGGGGACACGACAGCACGGCAAAACTTTCTCCCTCCCACAAAGCCTCTTCTCTCTCTATTCCTCTCCACCTATTATCCCTCTCTCTCTGTTTTCCGTTGGCCTGAGCTCTGTGGAAATCCAGCTCAGGGAATGCTTCAGAAAATCCCACTTTCCTTGCTCAGAGCCGTGGAGCTTGTAGTAAACTTTTCCAGCTGACTAACCTGAGAAGGCTCGAGATTAGCCAGGATCCTAAGACGAGCTCCTCGCACCACACAGGTTCTCTCGGGCTGATTTGAAAGGGAAATTGATTTCTCAGACCTACCCTAAAGCCTGGATTGTGCTCTCAGCAAGAGGCTCTGTGTGGGGTTATTTTCTGAGACTTAGTTTCTGGAAAAAAAGAAGGCAGGAGGGGAGGAGGAGGAGGAGAATGTCCAAGGCAGAACCACTGTGACTGCAAATTCACCGTTACAAATCAAACAGATCAATAAAACCTATCAGGAAACCAGAAATTTCACAGCAGAGATACCACCTTCCTCGTGTCATTGAGGCAGCCCAAATTGTCTTCACAGCTGGCCTTGTGTCTCTCACGTCTGTCTTGTTTTTCTCTGCTAACAGAGCCCTGTACGTTTCACACAATCCGTCTTTCTTTGTGTCTAGTGTGGACCTTTTATTTGAAATTGTGTGCATTGCTTGCTGTTGTTCCTACTTCACTTTTGTTTCAGCATGACTCACTGAATGGTCTGTTTCTTTTTTTCTTTTCTTTTAACAATTCCTCCATCATTCCTGTGTACATACACTTCCCACCTGCCTTTATATTCTTTGGCTGCTTCTACCTCTGGCTGTGTGCTTGTTTGTTCTACCACTTCTTTTTTTTCCCACCTTGCTTTATCTATGTGTTTGTGTGCTTGCATGGGTCCCCAATGTGTTGTGGTTCTTTTTTTTTTTCTCTCCTTTGTTTTCTTTTCTTTCCCTCCACCACTGGCTCTTGCTCTTGGCTGTGTTGTCCTCCCACCGTGTCCTTTAAATCCAGCCTGTCAGAAAGTTCTGTGTACCGCCTCAGTCTCCAGACTTGTCCCAGTCCCCCAACTCCAGCCCCTGTCCGTCCCCCGAGCCCATTGCCAGTCGCACCGGCCCGCGTATCTCCACCCCCAACTCGCTCGCTCCCAACAGCGAGCCCATACCGGAAGCTCTCAACAAGACGCAGACGCTCCCCGCCAAGCCCAAAGTTGTCCCCAAGCCTCTCCAAGCCACGCGATCGAACCCGCTCCCCGAAACCTCCCCCGATCCAGAATCTGCAGCCAAATCGGAGCCCTCCACTCCCTGCCAGCTTCCGCCGCAGCCGCCCTCTGCCTCCGTGCCTCCGACCCCTACTTCCCCATCCACCCCGGCCTCCCCCTTCTCCTCGTCCGTCACCAGCGCTCCCATCCCAAACAGTCCCCAGGTGCGGCGCTGCCACTACGCTGCCAACCCCCAACTCTCTGTGCCCTTCAGCCCGGCGGTGCCCCTGTCGCCCATCCGGCTGCACCACTTCCACCCCGTGGCGTCGGTCCCCTCTCCTTTTACTGACCACCCGCCCAAATCTATCCCCCTCATACAGGTTACCCCTCACCCCTCCCCTCGAGGCAGCCCCCTCCCCACCCCAAAGGGCACCCCAGTGCACACTCCAAAGGACAGCCCGGCTGGGACGCCCACCCCGACGCCGCCCCCGAGCCCCTCCATCGGAGGCATGCCTTGGAGGACGCGCCTCAACTCCATCAAGAACAGCTTCCTGGGCTCGCCACGCTTCCACCGCAGGAAACTCCAAGGTACTGTCATCGTCGCTTATGTAAGATCTCCGTGGGAAGCCCGGAATAACTTTGCAAACTTGTAATTTATTGCATATTTTTTTTAACCTGACTCTACTCTCTAGTGTGACTTTCTCTGAATCTTTGACATTTGTCTGAACTTGGACCCTGCCTCCACAGTTCCTACACAAGAGGAGATGTCCAGCCTCACACCAGAGTCTTCCCCAGAGTAAGTAGATGCTGCCTCTTTTTTTTTTTTCCACTATCATAACTATGCATAGCCTGTCAGCCCCTCAGTCACCGACTCAAACAGGCTCGCTCTCGATAGCATGATGTTTTGGAAAGTGTAACATCCATGAATGTTTGATTTTTACCTGCTGAGCTCCCTGTAATGACCCCGGGTCTGGTCTGGGTTGGAGAAGCAGCAACTGTAGCAGGAGGTAGTGAGTGGGTTATGAGGGAGGGAAGGCAGCCTGTGTGATGTTGCTGAGCTCCCATGGGCTTGATAACTCAGGGTTGGCCTAGATATGCCTGTTTGGTTGGCTGGCTGCTGTCTGGCTTGGTCATTTCCACCTGGCTGGGAAGAATGTCCTGGCTGATAGGAGTTGGAGAGTTTACCAGAAAGCACCTTCCCCTCGCTGGCCCCGCATCACACACACACACTCGCAGTCGCTTTAACAGCTGTAAGCGGCTTCTTATTGCAGAACAGTGCATCCCTTTATGTTGCTGCAGAAATTAAAACACTATGTAACGCTATATTCATATTTAAATAGGTGTTTATATACGGTTATGGGGGGTGGTTAAGTTTGAATCTAATATTATATATTAAATCTACTGTTAATATGCCGGAAAACAGGCAACCATATGGCTTATTAGTGGTCGGAGGTGCACCTGGGCTGAAGCCAGCGGTGAATTCATCTACCTCTGCTCCTTCTGGTCTCGCAGTTCTGTTCACAGAGAGGCTCGATTATCTCACTCCCTCACTCAATCTCACATACGCTCATATGCATACATCCATTTTATTCAAACATGGCTGCACAGAACACGCAAAACTTTCCTCCTCTGCATAGTTTTAGCTCATTTCCCTCCGAGGTATCCTCTCAGTTCCCCCCAGAGCTGTGGAGGGGAGGGAGATCTTCACCTGTTTTTATTTTTTTTCTGGATGGATAGATGGATGGATGAGCAAAAAGGGTTAAAATTAGGCTCATGCGGTATAACAGGATGTAAACCTTCTTCTTGTTTTCTCTTACAGACTTGCCAAAAAATCCTGGTTTGGTAACTTCATCAACCTGGAAAAAGAGGAGCAGATCTTCATCGTCATCAAAGACAAGCCTCTCAGCTCCATCAAGGCCGACATCGTTCAAGCCTTTCTGTCGGTATGCACACCACTTTGTTGCTTAATTCCTTTTCCTTTTGCCCTCTCTCTCTTCCTTCTCCTACATGCTCTTTGCCCCCCTCTGCCACAGCACTAGATCTACCCGAGTGTCTGCCGTCTGATGGAGGATGCTGCCGATGCGGCGAGGCGACCGCTCTCTCCGAGTGTTTGCTAACATGCTTCTGATTTATGTAGCAATTCAGTAAACTGCTTGTATTCTGTGCTCCTATTTTCTCCGTGACTGCAGACCCACTTGAGGTCAATAGAAAATCAACAGAGAGCATTGATCATTAGCATATAGATGCTTTGCCCTCGATGACGTGCTTCGAGCGCGCGCGTTTGTAACATCTAGATGTGCAGCGCGAGATACTGAGCGACGGCGTAGATCGCATCTGTGTGTCTGTTGTGTTTTTATATTAGTGCACAAACGCATGCGGAATTGCAGGCGGCGCCCACGGGTTCCTCTGCAGAATCAACTGGCGGCAGGGTAGTTGATATTCAGTGTACATAATTGAACAGAACCTGTCCTCACCCCAGTTAGATTTAACAAAGTCTAAGTAAATGCAAACTCTGCTAGTGTAGGTCAATGTCAAATACGTTTCCCTCGTCCCTGGAGGGTAGCTATTTTCTCCTGTGGGTTATGCTAGCTGGTATTCCAGACAGGAGATTGGCACCTGAATCAGTGGAATTATACCTCTCAGCACACTCACATTAATGGAATGTCAAACCCTCTCCAGCACTATGGCAAAACGTGACAATTTCAGGGCTCACCTGTTCATCGGGCATACAAATTCATTTTTAGGTGGGGAGAGTGCAATGTTGTTGGATGACTCAAGATTACATTAGCTTAAGTCTCTCTGGCATGCATGGCTACTCCCCGAGGCATTAATCTCCTTAGAGCTTCAACTGTGGCTCATAGTATGTGGAGGGTATTTTAATGAGGGTTTATTCACCTTGTCATTTGCAAGGTTTGGGAGAAAAATTTAGCATCACTGCTTCCTATGTATAATCCCATTACTTGGGTCTTTGTGCTACCTATTTATATTCTTATCTCTGCCTCTTTGTCCGTTTTTTTTTTCTTCTTTTTTCTGAGTTTCTCTTTATTTTTCCCCTCCCTTCCTCCAGATTCCCAGCCTGAGCCACAGTGTGATCTCTCAGACCAGTTTCCGAGCAGAGTACAAATCCACAGCCGGCCCCACAGTCTTCCAGAAGCCGGTGAAATTTCAGGTGGACATCACCTACACGGAGAGCACAGCTGCCACCAAGGAGAACGGCATCTACTCTGTCACCTTCACCCTGCTCTCAGGTCAGCACACATCAAGACGTAAATCCATCTACTTGTTTGCTCAGGACCAGTCGTTCCTATTCCAGCATGTGTGGTCACCAGTTCTTCCTCATATCTGCATTTGCATGTGTAGACAGTTCTGTAGTTGACACATATGTGTTGGAGCACAGAGAGAAGTGACCATCACTGAGGGAAATGTATGTGCTCTCGACAGACTGAAGCTCTCTTCTGTTCATCTGACGGCAGCTGAAGGTGTCAGCTTTATGTCTGAACTGGTCACTTTTTGTAAAAGTCAAGATGGGAGGCTTTACTAGATCAGACCGAGCAACATTTCTGTATCAACACAGCACAGGTCTTAGTCACATTAATGCAAAAGGATGTCCTTCAAGTCCTTTAAAGCAACTTAGAGAAGGGTTTTTTTTCCCACATTAGCACCACTATTGGTCCACAAACAGCACACAGCAGCACCAAAGACACATTTCATTCACTCGCCCTACGTTGTCACATGTATTACAACGAAATGCTCATAAAATAGAAACTTGCCTGATAAGAAGACAGCTTACAGGTCAGATTAACACATCAATAATAGATTTAGTTTTTGATATTTATAAAAGGTTAGCAGGAGCTGGAGTTAAGTCTGTTTGTAGAAGTTTTTCCTCTGAGTTTATTAAATACTGCAGCAATCGAACAGCAGCAGGATCCATTTAAGCGTAGCTCAGTAGCTAACTTTCCGAATTATTTTTAATTATAACTCATCCCTGACATGGAGACAGGATTAGTTAAAGTCTACCAGGAGGTCACCCTGTGTACTTGTCTTCATCTTGAGGATATTTTTCTTTACTCTCTCTGTCACTGTCGTGGGTAAGACTGAATGAAACAATGAGGAACTTAAAAGTATATCTGAATAACAGAATGCTCTCACCTTAATAGCAAACGGGAAAGAAAACCCCCAAACATCCCTGTTGCTATCTATAGATCATACAGAAACCCAGCATCTTCCTGCTGTGAATCAACAGGTCAGAGAACAGACTGGCAGCATTATGTAATTGCATTCAGCTGCTTTTTTTCATCCTATTAGGCTTTTACAGGTCTTGGGAAATCCAAGCTCTCAAGCACACTTTGAAGAGTGTGGAAAGGCGCCACTTAGACGTCACTTGGAGTGCTGTCACACTTCAAACTAATAGAATTAAACTTTGTTTATATCCAGCAAAAATGAACCTCGAGTGCTGTTTTTCAGAGGTGGGTGTTTTCATGCTCACTGCCAAAAAAGAATGGCTGCCTGAGAATTTTTTAAAAACTTCTTGCAATCCTGAGTGCTTGATAAGATTTTTTTTTTTTTCAACCCCCCTCCCCCCAAAACCTCCCTGAGCGTAACAAAATGAGGTCTGGCTATGCAAGATTACGTCCTATGCAATCGTGTGCGAATGCTTAGTTGTGCAGAAACATGGATTCTCGCTCTCTTCAGTCTGCCGCTCTCACACACACACACATAAGTGGGGGCACAGTTGAGCTGAGTGGGGTGTAATAGAGGCTGCTTCTTCATGTCACTGACCATACACTGCAAATAACAGGTAGGCAGCAGGAGCTCACAGTAGCGCTCCTCTCTGACCTCCATTTATCATCTCAGACTTTCTGCAGTTCTTGTACCGATCCGCTCTCCTCACCTCCACTTCTTCCCTCTCTCGATTGTTCCATCTGCATATTTCTAAACGCTTTCCCGTCCTCGCGCCGCCGACTGCGCGCCTCCACGCGACCGAGCAGACATTTTGACTCGTCGCTGTGGGTGGAAAAGCGGCGGCAGGTGCGTTTATGATGGCTGTGTTCCATTTAGGGGAGGTGCTGCTTTTGTGGATCCTGGCGCTCTACCAAAGACTTGCTGGGACACTTAATGGAACTGTGCCATCATTAATTCCACCTGTGTGTGTTCCCCCGCTGCGACGACTAAAAATACCTGAGCTCTATTACGCCAGCGTTTACGAGCGCGTGTTTGCGTGTGCTTGTGTTTTAGGACCCAGCCGGCGCTTCAAGCGAGTAGTGGAGACGATTCAGAGCCAATTGTTAAGCACACACGACCAGCCTGGAGTCCAACAGCTGTCCGGTGAGTAGGAACACCTTTTTTTTTTTTTAAACAGAAAATAAAAACAAAAGAATTCCCAACCTTTTCCAAAAACCTCTTCACCCTTAACCCTTACCGCCTCATCCGCCCATCCCACCCTCCCCGATAAACTACCCTCACCGCTGAAGCTGAGCTAAATCCTGCCCTTCTCTCTCCTGCGCTTGAAATCCCCCCCGAGCCACTCTCTCTCTGCTTCTCGAAAAAAAAAAAAACCACACAGCTTCCTCTTGCATGCCCGCTGCCATGAACAAGGGGTGGGAGTTGCTCTTAAGCACCGACTGCGGGTCAAATGTTGTCTTGTTGCCCTGGCAGTGAGGATCAGAGCAGAGGGTAGGGTAAGCTGATTCTGTTACTCCTACTTCCAAGACGGATCGCCGGAGCCTGTCACCATGGCAACACCGCTGCACCTCAACGCACCCCCACAATGCACTGCGCCACACAGCGACGCCACACCTGATAAGCGTTCCCCCTCTCTTTCTCGCCCTTCCTTCGCTCGAATAAGACGCCCGTCCCCCGTTTTTTTTTTTTTTTCTCCTCGTCTCTTTTGGCGCCCCTGAAGCCGAGATACTGAAAAACCTCTCGGCCTTGATCTCCACCCAACCGTCCACCTGTGATGACGTTTTTAGAACCTCCTTTCGACACCGAGTCCCCCGGACAGGTACACGAACCCCATCTTGTCCCCCCTCTCGCTGTGGCTGCATCCTGTTTCGCTCAATGGATGATGAAGAGAAAAAAAGGAACAGAGAAACAGGGATCCTACTCCTCCCCTTCGGCTCTTAGCATGTTCTCTCTTGTGAATCACTGCTCTGTTTGTGTTCGTCTCAGTCGCCATTCTCTTCGTAACGGCTCCATCTGCTGGTCAGGCGGGGACACGACACCAGAAGGTGATGGTGTCCCATGTGTAATCTGGTGTTTGAGTGTTTGTGTCTTTCCTCTCTCATAACCCACGTCAGATCCAGGTTCAACCGATACAGGTCCCGGTCCTGCGCTCCGCCGGCGTGCCGCGTTTCCCAAACGCGAGCTGTCTTTTTGTGCGGCGTTGCTCTCGTTGGCACTCGGAGACGAACAGCAGTCATGACAGCTGTTATGATATTTAACAGTCTGTTATCAGTGCTGTGCCTGAGTAAGTTTACCAATTATTTTTGATCTTTTATATTGTCGAGCTCATTAACCGGCTGAGGTGTGGGAAGGGTAAAATTATAATAAATTACATCAGATTAGGTTTTAATGACTGCGGTGGGATGACATTGTGAGGGTTCAATTCAGAGCACTACGTATATTATGAGAACCACTTGAAGCAATGGAAGATACAGAAACAATTAAGCCGAGTATCTGATGTCAAAGCCGATGCGTTTAATATCAAAAGTCAAAGTGTTTTTGAAGGGCAGCTTAAATGAATTTGCACTATCATCGCTATCAAACTGCCCTACAACAGAGCAGCATGTGCTCTGCAGGAACTGAATGCCACCCTCTTCTACCCACCTAGCACACCTATACCTGGCCACAGAGAATAAAAGCCAGCGACTATAATTAAGAACAGAAGTGGCTTTGCATACAAATGTGTATCAAACAAAAGGCTTAATCAAGTCTTGGTCATTATGTCCCCTAATCACCAGTACCTGGGAGCCCGGCTTAGGGAGACAATAGAGAGGTGGAACAATAAATGCAGTTTGGAGGAACGTAGCACGTATATTGAGGGGGAAAAAAATATGCAGTTGGAGGATGAGTGTTATTTAGTTAAATGAAAGTGTGCACAATTGTGGAGGAAGTGAATAAATGTGGAATTGTTCACGTGTGGGGAAGGAAAAGGGACGACCGGGGAGAAGTTAGCCGTTTTCCAGCTGGATAATGGAGCGGTCCAAACCAACTGTGGCACATTCACAAATGTCCGCATGCACACAAACGGCAAAAAAAAAAACAACAACACAATCACTCATTCAGTTTCCTCTAATCTCCAGACCTCTGCAGGCGGAACACGCAGCAGATAGGCGGATGTTTTACGCAAAGCAAGCAAAGAGATCCGACTTTACAACATAGTTTTTTTTATTAAACGCTGACGTGCAGACGCTCGGCAGTCCAGTGTGTGTCTGCGTGCGAGCCCGTGTGTGTGTGTGTGTGTGTGCTTTTTGTTGTCTCCGCAGCACCCCGGCCTGTTTTTACTGATGTTGTCACTGTTCATTTGTCAGCCCACAGGACTTTATTGTGCAAATGGCTGTTCTGCCAAGTATCCAGAAAGACTCTTGTTTGTGACGGATAGTTCCCAGAGTTGTGTGTGTGTGTGTGTGTGTGAGTGTGTGTGTGTGTGTGTGTGTGTGTGTGTGTGTGTGGCATTAACAAAAAGAACACTGACTCTTTATTTGCTCCATTTCTCATGTTTGGTGTCCCTACTGTACTGCTTACCTGCAGTGGGACCATTAGGGCTGAAAAAGTGTGTTTAGGCGAAGATCATTTGCATGCGCACACACACACACACACACACACACACACACACACACACACATCTGTAGCACACTATAGTGTTTAGGAATTAATAATAAATCTGTATTATTTAGCGTTCCTACCTCTTTTATTCAGCACACAACATCAATTCCAGATTATGATTTTAATGCATCATTTAATGCAACTCATCACTATTTTGACCTGATTGTGGGGAAGATTTTGTTTTTTTTTACTTCAAAGACCCGATGACGCAGCCCATCGTTTCATGTTGTTGTGTTGGGCCAGGTTTTTATAGTTTGACGGAGTGCAGAACTCAAGCGAAGAAACATATCGATCAAAGGTTCTTGGCTGTAGGCAGATTCAAGTCCAAACATTGCTCCGTTACATGCGCCTCGCTCGGCGCTATCGCCACGAGGCAGACGGCCTCCATCAGGTTCAAGTCGCCCTTCAGAGCTTTAATGACATCTGAGTGCACTCGATGAACAATCAGGGAGTGGAGACGCTGATCTTTTTTTTTAATCATCCTTCAGGGGCAGATTTTTCTCGAGGGCTTTCTCATTGTCCTCTTTTATCATCCGTCCTTCTATATTTACTTCTAGTTTGTAGATTCACTGGATACTTGTGTGTTTTCACGCTGCGACACAAGCATGATTTGTGGCTTCAGCAGTTCTCATCCTCGCTGCGTTCTTCCTCCTCGTCCTCCTCCTCCTCCTCCTCGCCTCTGCTTGCTCTGTCTTACATGTAAGCCAACGTCTCTGCCCTGTGAACCCCACTGTTCATTAGTTTGTTTGTTCTCTTTCTTCTCTCTCTTTCCCCCTCTCTTTTTGTTTCTCTTGTTGTCCTCTTCTCTCCCCCCGTCTGTGTACCTAGGCAGCCCATTGAGTAACTTCTTTGACGTAATTAAACAACTTTTTTCAGACGAGAAGAACGGACAGGTGCCCTACCCCTCTGGCACGCCCTCCAAGCACTGCCCCCCGCCCATGCACGTCCGGAGGCATGAGCCGGAAAATAATGACACCAAATACCCCGCCGCGGGCCGAGACAGAGCCAAGTTGTCGGTGGCATCTGTGGGGACGCAGGAGGAGTCTTAGACCGAGACCGCTGTGTAGTTTTGAAGCCCATCCCAGTATCGGCACAGAGAGAGTGTTCTACCTGTACATAGCTAGATGAACAAAATCATTTATGGACTTCTTTTTTTTGTATAAAATGACTTTATATAGATAGAAATATATTGAGAGAATCAAAGTGATATTTTACAAACACACTTCTGTCCCTCCACCTCCCTCCTTTCCATTACCCCTCAGCATCCACCACCATCATTAACCACCCTTCTACCCCAACCATCTAATAGCCACCGGCCTTTTACTCTGATTTTTTTTGTTTTTTTTTCTCCCATTGCTGCTTCTAACCTGACTTGTTTCTGATACCAGGAATTATCCAGAAAACCTATTAAAGTCCCTCCTCCTGCTCCTCTCCTGCTCCACTCCCTCCGCCCCACCCCTCCTCGAGCGTGCCAAGAGAGACGGACATTTGTTGACGGAGGACTGCTTTTAGAGGTGCGCTGGAGAGAGGGGGGGGGGCGGGCGGGGGGGAAAGGGGGTTACCATGGAAACAGATCCTTCACGCAGACTTCTACCTTCATCTTCCTCCGCGCCCCTACTCCACCTCCGGCAGCCATCAGTAGAAGTAGATGAAAATCCTTTAGTGTTCCCCCCACCACCAACCAACAACTCATCCACACACATTCTAATAAACCGAGATCGCACACTACCTTCAACAACCAGCCCCCTCTTCCCCCCGTTTTTTTTTTTCTTCTCCTTTGACTTCAAGGAGTATTTGATAATTGGGAAACAAGCATTTGTCAAAAGACACTACACACAAAGAAAAAACAACACACACATGCATACATGCACAGGTCCAGTATGCACAGAAAACTCTGGGATGTATTATCAATGACGAACAAAATCAACAAAAAAAGAAAAAAAAAAAAGAAGAAGACATGAGGAGGAGAGAAGCGAGAGGAGTTTTGTGGAAAGCCCAAACAGCCGACACGGATGCTTGCTGGATTGTATTCGTTTGCTTTTTAATGTACTTTCTTTGTGAAGAACTGGGTTTGAAATACTGACTTTATTAGACTTAATACTATTGCTGCAAAACGGACTGGAATTGTGATTTCAGAGAGGAGCCGGGTGCGCGAAGAACAGGGCAAGTGGGGCAGATGAAATGATAGTATGGGGTTGGGGGGGAGGGACGCGTGCGGGGGGGTATGTGGGTATTTAAAAATGAATGATCTATTCTGTTGTACAGACTGATATCATTTCTTATGTAAAAAAAAACAATGAAATGTCTAGTTGTGACACGATGTTTAGATACCATAGGAACAGGTTGGTAAACCTGCGCCTGCCACATTCTGTCATTTTAAATTCTTCTGTGTGTATTTTTTGTTACATGATCATTTATGTCTTTGTTTAATTGACCTAATAATGATCCAAACATTCCTGTTCCCTGTTATCTGCGGCACTTTGTCTTTGAGTTTTTTTTCCATTTATACCTCTCTCTTCTAGTCTCACTTACCAGCAGTAGGAGTAGAGGAACAAGAAGAAGAAAAAAAAACAACAACAACAACTTTACCGTGATAAATGCAATTGTGGATATTTTTGTATTGTTGTCCTTATTTATTCATGTTTGTTCATCTCACTGTTTTGATTTCCTAATTTATTATAACTTGGCTATTTATATGAACAAAGCTGTTAGGTCAGTTGAATGTTATTTATTACCCTCTTGTGTGTTCGTAAATGGGACAACATTTGAAGAAGAAAAAAAAAAAAGAACTTTTTTTTTCTTTTGCTTTGGTCTGACTTTAACAGAATTATGTGAACTTTAACCACAAATTCTCTGTTCCCTGAAAAATCTCCAACGAGGGAAAGAGAACTTGTGGGAACTTGGGGGGGAGAAAAAAATGATTTACCAGTAATTTAAGAATGTAGACTTAGCCTCTTTTGGGAGAGGAAATATGCTCTTCTATTGATATTTGTCAGTTTCATATTATTGTGCGTGTAGGCCAGGCCTGACGAGAAGGACGCCACAGATTCCAATCTGCTTCTTCTCTTTGTAAATAGACAGACAAACCGTGGGGGTTGATTGTCTTCTCAACCATGCTGGGGATTCCTGCTCTATGCTTTTAGCTTGTATTGCTGTGTGCATGTCAAACATGAGCTTTTCTTTGCATGGCTTTAGTGTTATTGTTCCATGCCAAACTCACTCCTTCTCTCAGCCTTCATTGATTCTCTCTCTCCACAAAACTACCTTTTAAAGTTTAAACTCTCCCTCTGTCCCTTATTTCTCACCCTCTCTGCTTTTATTTCTGGCCTTCTTTTTTTATTGTCCCCCTTGGCCCTTTTCCTTTCTCCTCCTCCTCCTCCTTATCTTGTGCACAAAGTTTTTGAACAATGCTTCCTTTACTCTGTACCCCTCTCTGGAAGGCTCAGAGGTCTGGGATCCGTCTACTACCTGTTGGTAGAGGAGACCCGGGGAGGGGTTACCAGTACTACAAACACAAAGCAATACCCTGATGTTCACCCTCCTTTTTTGTTTTCTACAATGGGAAGCTAGCAGCACTAAGGACATCCAATGATTCTGAGGCCCAGAGGGGTCTTTTGACAGAGCAGGAACAAAACTGACTGATGTAATCCCCATATGACATAACTGTGAGCATCTTCAGTGCTGAAACAAATAAACTCATTCAGTTATGGTGTGTTTGTTTTCCTTATTTGTGCCGCAACATGAATGGGTAAGTGAAGACCTGAGGGAATCCAATAGAAATTAAAGCCGCAAGCGGCGATGGACGGGTCCTCGCCCTACGCTTGTCGGCCTTTGCGTACGGCGGGGTGTGGGGCAAACCTGCTCCGGGT